ATTTGGGCCGTGTTATCGCGTGAAGTTACGTGAACTCAAGTGAACTTCTGTTAAATCTCCGGACCTGTTGCCGGAGCCGCAGAGCCGCACCGCACCGTAGTCAAAAGGGCGGTGTGAGAGGGGGTGTGCTGGAGTTGCGGTCTCCGTCGGCTCGGTAACTGCACAGGAGCCAGTGTGAGCAAGGGGTTATTCTGACAATTGAATGCACATTTGCTGCAGTCCTGCTTTTTTAGGGGGGGGGGGACTACTGCTTGGTGTCATCTTCAGTTTTAAATGGTGCACTGCATCTGATCTTCAATGACTAGATGATCTGGTGAACTGTAAAGTGCCTTGAGATGACATGTGTTGTGAATTGGCGCTATAGAAATAAACTGAATTGAATAGAGTTGAATTGAATGAGGATCAGTATTGGCTTCCCCCATTATTGCAACATCACCCAAAAAAAACCCTGAAAGCTGCTCTCTGTATACTTGCTCCAGTTTTGTTGCTACGGGTCCCAACACTCACAGTTCGGATTGTATCACGGTTACGGGTTGGAACATTTTTTGGATCACCAGGGAAAAAAAACGCACACACAACCACTATAATTTTGATCCCCATTTATTTTGTTGAACACTTATTTAAGCATGTATTTCTTATTTAAAAAGATTCAAGAGGTTGATCCAAATCTTAGATGAAATAATAAAGTTTAGTTTATGAAAACAATTTAAGGTGCGATAAAATGCATGAAACCTTCAAATCCCTTTACACAGGTCCCTGTAACTTTCCGTTGCTCCGAAGGTCCGCCTGTCTGTGGTGTTTGTGATAGTTCAGCAGCGAGTTTTTCCTGCTCATACAGATGAGGCTCAATTATATTTTCACTGAAGTGGATGCACAACGAATTTACATACCGTGGCTTAAGCACATGTAGCATTATGTTTAAAGCCCTTGTTTCGAGTATGGTCTCATGTCTGCTACTATAAAAACTCTGACCCTGTTAAAGCTTTAACCTTGTTTGAGTTTGCCGCTAAAGGCTTTTTAAATGCCTCGTCATAAGTGGTTGTTGAGCAACACTCATCTTAGATCCTGTCGTGGACGCTGATACGCCCGGTGTTGGTACCAGATCTGCTCAGGGCCCAGCTTCCTGCCAGTGACGTTACACTACATGATTGGCTGCCACATGATGTAAAACATTGTGCTTGCCCTGACAATGAACAAAACATTTTTTTAAAGTGTGAAATGAGTTTTAGAAATAATACAGTCAACATTTTCCCCCCCAAAAAANAATTTTCTGTTACACTACCTTAGAGCAAAGATGAATATCTTCTGATTTTAGTTGTCATTATGTCTATTTTTTCTTAAGGACTCGCTGAACTGGCCTCCAGAAAATACAAACCAGCTGCTAAGTGCTTTCTGCAGGCTTCATTTGACCACTGTGACTGTCCAGAGGTGAGTTGCATTTTCAAATTCTTCAAAATGCAGTGATATTTTAGATTTAGATAGATTTATTTGTCATTTTGTTTTACACACGTGTAAAACGAAAATAAATTCCTGATATGCTGGTTGTGTATTTAAATTGTTTTTTTTTTTTTTTTTTTAGTGTACCGGTAGTCTTTTTCAGTATTTTGAAAGGGTCCCTGGTAAGAAAGAAAAATATTTATATATATGTTTTAGTTTGGTATGCCTGTGCACCATTGGTTAAAAAAGAAACACACGGACATGTTTTGATTAGGATTTAACTGATAAGTCATTACAAACTTTACAACAACAGAGAATCACCATACAATAAGAGTGAAAATGATCAAATCTGATAACACATATAATGAGGAAATGGAAATGTAATGAGGAAATTCAGAAACATCTCTCCCATCAACAGAAGAAAAAAATCCCGTCTTTTTGCTTGTTTTTCTAAAGAAATGGAGGCATTCCAACTAAAGCCCGGCAAACACTGGGTGACATTTTCAATTATTTTAAGCAGCTACAGCTCAAACTGTCCAATGAAATCACAGGTTTAAAAGCTCACAGTTCAGGATGCATATTCTCACACTATGCAACCCAAAGCTCTGACGCGATCTTACTTCGGCCGAATTAATTTCAAACATGTTTGATTTTCTCCCAACCTTACGATACCTGATAGGGAGGTGGCCATGAGAGGCTAATCGCCCCTCATTACGCCCCTGTATACCACCGAACGCATGATGAAGCTGAAAGTCAGCCCGTTTAAAAAATTCTCGCACAACTGGAGAATCGGCCCAGATGAGGGGAAAAAAAAACAGCACAGCCATCTTTGTTTTGTTGATTAACGTCATACTTGTCACTGCATTTCATGGTTCTAAAACATTTCTGTATCGAGGCTAACACATTGGTTCTGGCAACATGTCTTTTCACAATGTTGTGACATTTAACCTCAATTGCAAGGTAAGTTTTGCCGAGGTTTACCCCAGGCTCACACCGACTCCGGTCTTACCGTTGCGGTGCGGTGGGTGCGGCGCCGCAGTGATTCCAAGTNTGCCTGGCAAGAAAAAAAATAAATATATATATGTTTTAGTTTGGTATGCCTGTGCACCATTGGTTAAAAAAGAAACACACGGACATGTTTTGATTAGGATTTAACAAACTTTACAACAACAGAGAATCACCATACAATAAGAGTGAAAATGACAAAATCTAATAATACATATAATGAGAAAATGGAAATGTAACGAGGAAATTCAGAAACATCTCTCCGATCAACAGAGGAAAGAAATCCCGTCTTTTTGCTGGTTTTTCTTAAGAAATGGAGGCATTCCAGCTAAAGCCGGGCAGACACTGTGTGACATCATTTTAAGCAGCTACAGCTCATTTGTCCAATGAAATCACAGGGTTTAAAAGCTCACAGCTCACGCTGCATGTTCTTACACTGTGCGACCCGACGCTCTGACGCGATCTTACTTCAGCCGACTGAATTTCAAACATGTTTGATTTTCTCCCAACCTTACGATACCTGATAGTCAGGTGGTCATGAGAGGCTAATCGCCCCTCGCTACGCCCCTGTATACCATCGAACGCATGATGAAGCTGAAAGTCAGCCCGTTTAAAAAATTCTCGCGCAACTGGAGAATCGGTCCGGATGAGGGAAAAAAAAAACCAGCACAGCCATCTTTGTTTTGCTTCATCTTTCTACCCCTGATTAACGTCATACTTGTCACTGCATTTCATGGTTCTACTGCTTGGTGTCATCTTCAGTTTTAAATGGTGCACTGCATCTGATTTTCAATGACTGGATGATCTGGTGAACTGTAAAGTGCCTTGAGATGACGTGTTGTGAATTGGCGCTATAGAAATAAACTGAATTGAAAAGAGTTTAATTGAATGAGGATCGGTATTGGCTTCCCCCATTATTGCAACATCACCCAAAAAAAAACCCTGAAAACTGATGTCAGCAGTCTTTCCATGGGCGGCTGCTCTCTGTATACTTGCTCCAGTTTTGTTGCTACGGGTCCCAACACTCACAGTTCGGATTGTATCACGGTTACGGGTTGGAACATTTTTTGG